CCTTCCTGCGTGGGGCCGGGGTGGGGAGCCCTGGGAGAATCGGAGAGCCGGAGGAAGACCGGGAAAGGGTGAGGGGCCACGAGCCAGGGGCAGCGCGCGTTTCCCTGCCAAGTGATCAGCTCCTCCGAGGCTGGATCTTAGGTTTGGCAGGTAGAGGTCGCTGGTAACCTTGAGGAGAGCAGGCGGTGGAGGGCGTGCAGTCCGCCAGAGTGAACAGGGGGATTGGTGTTGCACTTAGGTAGCTGAGTTATCCAAAGAGTTGAACACCTCCGACAGTTTTTACAGTTCCTGTGCAATGTTCTTTACCATGTATTTTTCCATTCCTTAACATTTTTAAACTTTCTGTGGAAAAGTAATTGTATAGCGTACCATGTGATGTTTTGATCTATGCAAACATTGTAGAAAGATTAAATAAAGCTAATCAACATATGTGTCACCTCACCTACTTGGATTTTAGTGGTGAGAGCGTTTATTCTTAGCAGTTGTGAAATAAACAATACAGTGTTGTCAGCTAAGGTGACCACGCCTAAAACTTACTGCCCCAATCTAAGTGAGACTTCGTACCCTTTCACCAACAACTCCCCTTTCTCAACTGCTCCCTCAGCAGTTTCTGGTAACTGCCATTCTGCTCTCTGTATGAGTTCCACATTTGTATACTTCACAAGTGTTGAGATCATGTATTTATTTTTCATGCCTGGTTTATTTCATGTACCCTTTCTCTCCACAGTCATCCATGTTGTCAAAAATGGCAGAATACTCCCCTACTCCACTTCCAGTGCTGGGGATCCAATCCAGGGCTCCACTCAGCTATATCCCCAGCCCCAGAATTTCCCTTTTTAAAGACCATGTAGTATCCCATTATGTGCATGTCCCACATTTTCTTTATCCGTTTATCTTGGACATTTAGGTTGCTTTCATACCCTGGCTATTTTAAATAATGCTGAAATTAGTGTGTGAGTACAGAGACCCCTGCCAACGCACTGATTTAAAATCCTTTTGCTGTATATGCAAAAGAAGACTCGTTACATTGTGTGGTAATTTTAGTTTTAGTTGTTTGAGGAATCTCCATAGTTTTGTAAAATGGATGTAGTAATTTACATTCCCAAAGTGTACATTCTACAGGGTGCCCTTCACATCCTTGATAACATGTGTCTTTCATCTTTTTGATACTAACCGTTCTAAAAGGGGTGAGGTAATATCTCACAGAGGTTTGGTTTCCATTTCTCCATAGGTAGAGATGTTAAGCATTTTTCTATATATCTTTTGACCATTCATATTGGTTTCTTTTGAAAAATACCTGTTTGGGTCCTTGGCCTGTTTTAAAAATTGTTTTCTTTCTATTGAGTTCCTTGTATAGCTTAGGTATTAGCTCCTTACGTCATATATATTTTCTCCCAGCCTGGGAGTTGTTTCCTTTGTGGTGCAGAAACTTGCATTGATCGATTTTTGCTTTTGTTGCCTGTTTTAAGAAATCATTGCCCAGAATAGTGTCATGGCAATTTCTATGTGTTTTCTTCTAATAGTTTTACAACTTCAGGTCTTTAAGTTTCTTCAATCCATTTTGAGTTTACTTTTGTCATCCATGGAGTGAGATAAAGGTCCAGTGGGTGCCAGTTTTCTCAGCACTACTTTTTCACAAGACTGTCCTTCCTTCATGGTGTGTTTGTGGTATCTTTCTTGAAAATTAATTGACTATAAATGGGTGGATTTATATCTGGACTTTGTATGCTGGGCTGTAGGTCAGTGCACCTCTTTATGGCAGTACTGTTTTGATTATAATATAATCAAATATAATATAATATATGATTTACATATAATATAATATATATTTTATGGCAGTACTGTTTTGATTATAATAGTTTTCTAATATTTTGAAATCAGGAATGCGATTCCTCTGCCATGTTCTTCTTGCTCAAGATTGCTTTGGCTACCTTGGGATCTTTTGTCATTCCACATGAATTTTAGGATTGTCTTTTCATTTAAAATGACATGGGAATTTTGATAGGAATTGTATTGAATCTCTTTTGCAAATATCATCCTTTTTTTGCTTTTTCTCCGGTACCGGGAACCGAACTCACGACCTTGCGCTTGCCAGGCAGGCGCTTTTGCCACTGAGCTAAATCCCCAGCCGAATCTCTTTTGTTTTATGTACATTTAAGCAATACTTTTCCAATCCATGGACACAGATTACCTTTCCATGTATTTGTATCTTCTTCAGTTACTTTCATCAGTGCTTTCTTTTCAGTAGGCAGTTTTTATTTTCACCTCCTTGATTAAATCTACTTCTAAGTATTTAAATATTTTATTTAAATAAGATTGTCTTAATTTTGTTTTGGGCAGATCGCAGTTAGTGTATAAAGTGCTACTAACTTTTCTATGTTGATTTTATATCCCACAAGTTGACTCTGGATCAAAATGAAAGTCTCGATCATAGTGATGTCCTCCAAATTAAAATATTAGAAGGCAACAGTAGAGATAAACATATGAATCTTTGAAACAAATAGCTAATACACACACACACACACACACACACACACACACACACAGTAAGCTCAAAATAACTTCATGCATCAGGTAAGATGCCTGTAGTTAAAGATAGACATTTGGGGGGCTTTAGTCTTTACAATTTTCATCTAGATATACAAATTTAACAATTATCTGCTATGACAATGTTTTTTAAATCCTCCTGAAGCTGTGTGACAAATATTAGGGTTCATTATTTTAGTAGTCATGTATGTTTAGGGTTTTCTATAATTAAAAAATAAAATTAAGCCGTAGTAACACTTCCTGTGTCTCTGTTATGGCTTAGATCTACGGTGGCCCTTGAACCTCCTGGGTTTGGAAGGTGATTGGTTAGGGGCAGAAGAGCTGGCTTGCTGTTAGGAGGCTGGGTCTGGTCACTGGGGGCGTGGCCTGGAAGGGTTCAGCTCCCTTCCCAGTTCCTCCCTTCATGCACTCTGTCTCCTTCCCCCTTGCCTTGAGCAGCTCTCTTCCACCATGCCCTCCTGCCATGCTGTTCCTTCTTGGAGCTGGCAAACCCTAAACTGAAACCTGAGCCAAAATCTCTCCTCCTTTAAGTTGCGGGTGTCTAGTATTTTTCCCCAGCAGCAGAAAAGTGACTAAGATAGTCCCTTACTGAGATATCTTGGGGAAAGGACTCAAGTCTAAACACATTCATTTAAGTTTCGTGTACACATTAGATTCATAAGCCTGATGGTAATTTTATATAATATTTTTAGTGACGCTGCATTTTGATTATGACCTGTCGCATAGGGTCAGTATGGTATCATTGACAATCAAAACGTTTTAGATTTTGGAGCATGTCAACTGTTTGCATTAGGGATGTTCAGCCTGGGCTGTTGTCCTCTAGCCATTTTTTTTTTTTTTTTCATTCTAAGCTTTTTTTGCAGTCTTTTTGATTATAGTAGAAACCAGTTATGTTGAAAATGTCATGCTTACATCTTATTTTTAAGTGAGATTTACTGAAATAGAACTTGTTAGATTTTTATTTTACAGTTCTATGACCACCAACCATCTCCAAAATAAATATATAGAATTTTCCTTTGTTCTAAAAAGTTCTTTGCTCTCTCTTAACTTTCTCACCTATCTCTGTCCCAGGAAACCATTAATGTGATTTCTGTACCTACAGTTTTACCTTTTCAGAGTATCATAAAATGGTTTCAAAAATAGCCTTTAGTGCCTGGCTTATTTTACTTAATATAATGCTTTTCTTTGGTTTTTTGTTGTTTTTTGTAAGCAACTTTATTTTAGAATAATTTGGGGCTTACAGAAATACTGCAAAAATAGTACAGAGTTCCCGTACACTATGTATGCAGTTTCCCCTAATGTTGCAGTAAATCACACTTAAAAATAATAGGGACAGAACAAAAACAGGACCAGTCAGTGCCCATGTCTGAACTCAGACAGAAACAGAAGACTGTCTAAACCACTAAAAGGACCAACCTCCCTCCCATCCTGGCCGATCCGAGGGATTGCCACTTGTTGATCAGTCAGTATCAGCCTCATTTTAGTCCTTCCACCTTTTAGTTAAGGCTTGTTACAACAGCCAACCACAGCAGCTGTTTCCTAGCAGCAGCCAGTCTGAGACAAAGACACACTTCTGTGAACTCCTTCCTGCATGAACCAACACCAGCCCAAACGCCGTAAGAGTGCCTTGCAATTCTTCCCGAATCGCCCTGCAGTTCTCATGGCAAATTCTCTCCTGGCGCTTTGCTCAGCCACAGATACACGTTCGCGGTGCTGGGCTGGAAGGATAGACAACCCACACAATGTAGTAACCTGTGTTGAAACCCTTGCTCTGCTGTTTTCTCCATCTACCCTCTATCCCACTCCACATCAGTTCTTTTTTTATGATTTCTTTTTATAGACACAAATTCAAGACAGTACTAAAGTATATTGTTACGTACATTCACGTTGTTGTATAACCAATCTCCAGAAGTCTTCATTTCATAAAATGGAACCCTTGTGCCTATTATTTTTAAGTGTGGTTTACATACAGTAAAATTAATCCTTTTCTGTGTGGAGTTCAGAGAGTCTTGGTAGACACCGGGTAACTACCACATGGTATGGGACAATTGCATTACCTCCCCATCTAGTCACGGCCCTTTATGTTTATTCACTCCTCCCCGCTCCAGTGGCCACACACATACTTCCTGTCCCTCAGGTTCCTTAGTCTAGACTGGGATACAAATGGAATCATACAGTCTTTTGATAGCAGCTGTATTACATACTGTGAATGTGTCCTTGACCAGAAGTTTAGAGAGATTAAGGAGATTTTCATATCTTTTTAAAAGCAATTTTTCATGTGACTCCTCCCATCCAACTCTTTCCCAAGCCTCTGCGGCAGGGATTCTCACACTGCAGTGGTCATCAGGATGGCTGGGAAGTGGAGTGTGGGTTCTGTCTGCAGACTGTCTGACTGGAGGGTCTGGGGTGGAGCCTGAGGCTCTGAATTCCTGACATCTCAGGTAACACTGCTGCTGCTGACGTAGAGAAGCACTGCTCCGCACCCCTCCACCCCATGCACGCACACATCCTGGGAGCACTTGAGAACCCGAGTTGCAAACAGCCTGTGTAGAGGATGGGCATTATGAAGATCTGTTACTAAGATTCTACTGTTACTAAGATTAAGAATATTCTTATCTGCACAGTCTCTGACTCATGATGATTCTGTTCTAAGACTTTTCAGCTTTACCCTGGTGCTGTTTTCTATGTTAAGTAAATCATATGAGATGGTCAGTGCTTTATTATCAGCTAGGCCTTGCATTACATGATTTTTCCCAGCTGTAGGTTAATGAAGTATTCTGAGTACATTTATGGTAGGTTAAGCAAAGCTAACCTATCATGTTCTGCAGGTTAAGTGTACTAAGTGCATTTTTAATTAAAATTTTCAGCTTCTCATGGGCTTATCAAGGTGCAACCCCATTGTAAGTCAAGGAACATCTAGATGAGTGTGTATATAAAAGTGCTCTTAACACACACGTGTGCATATGTATACTTGAATATTTTTCTGATTGTTTCTCTTTTGGATTTTTTCTAAAGCCTATCTGAAGAATTAGTACCACAAAGAAAACCTGATGAGACCTCTTCAGATTGGTACAAGCCGATTAATCTCCCAGCTGTGTTGTGGACACAAGCCTCTAGCCTATCCGCAAAGCAAGATTTGCCTAATAATGGCTCGTCCAAGCTCCAGTAAGTCATTCCTAGGGCACCATCCCCTTCCCAGTACCGTGTGATGTTTCTGAGTGCGCCTGCAGTCCAAGGGGACTTCTGTGTCAAAGTAGGTGTTGTGCAACCTTTTGGACAAAGCTGCCCTGTCTTTGCTGTTTTGTTTTTGTTCTGCCTCTCCCAGAATGTTTACGTTTGAGCTTTTCACATATGATTTGGGGGTTTTTGGATTGTTTTCTGGTGCTGGGGATTGGACCCATGGAGGCCAGCACTCCACTACTGAGCTACCACTGAGCTACATGACCAGTTCTTGGGTATTTAAAACCCATCCTCTCTCTGCAGGGGAGAAAGCCAGTGATTTTCCTCTTGGGCAATATGAGGGTCAAAATCTTTGTACATGATGAAACCCAGTAAATTAACATATACAGGAAGCAGGGGGACTAGCCAGTTTTTATAATCAGTGATCCCTAGGTAGCCTGTTAGACAGAGCTTCAGTATGACATTGAAAAGTCAAGCCATGCTCTTTTTGCCTTATTTTCAACTTTTGAATAACTTTTCCTGATGCTGTGAGTCTGCTCAGGCATATGGCCTCTTTCCCCTCTGCCCAACCTTGGGGATGGAAAAGAAGCAAAGGTGCCCAGTTCCGCTCCATTATCAGCTACTCCAAGCCTGTGGTGGATCCAAAAGTGCACGGCTGACTGTGGCCTGCGGTGGGCCTTTCCACAACAGGCCAGGCCTCACAGCACACCAGCAGGTTTGCCTTCAGCAACCGGAAAACAGTAGTGGTAGGGGTTGCTTTTGTGGTACTGGAGGTTGAACCTAGGGCCTTGTGCATGCTAGACAAGCACTACTATTGAGCTACATCCCCAGCCCTGGAAAATATTTCATACCTCATAACATCACTGTATCTTGTATCCTGTTTTCCAGAACCAAACCTAGTTGACCTTACTTGTTTGTAAAAGTTGCTTTTAGAATGGTACCTTAGTAGAAGTCATTCAGACCTGGGGATTTGTCAGGAGGTGTCAGTTTCCCCAAGGGGTAGAGAAGACCACCGGGGCTGGTGGTAGCTTTAGGAGTACACTGTGAAGTCTTGAGGGATGTTTGGATGGATTGGACCCAGGTTTCATACAGATAGTTCCTGGAAAAGTACATTTTTCTTTTTCTTTCTTTTTTACACTTTCTTATTATTAATGTACAGTACTTGTACCTTGTTCTTCCAGAAAGTTAGTCCAGATTAGAAACTCTGGTCTACCCAGCATGGGTTTCTTTTTCCAAATTCCTTCTGGCTGGGCAGCTTTAGTCTCCAGATAGGCCTTATTTTCTCACCTGCCTAGCTCTGAAAGAGCCTCGAGGGTAGGTGAGTCTTTGGCATGACTGGCCGGGTAGTGGGTTGGTTCCATTGAAGAGAACCTTATGTTGGAGCCTTCTCCATTTCTGTTCACCTGATGGTGCCATGAGCATAGCCCAGCCAGCTCCAGGAGTGTAGCTGGAGAGGACCTGGAGCTCTGAGCCTCTGTTCTGAGAGTCCACTTTTACCCTTTGTTCATGCTGGCCACGGTCCACTGTAGGACAAGGGAGGAGAAGGCAGGGAAGTCTGGGCCTTTACCAGGGTCTCTATCCCAGATCATTCACAGTGTATGGCTCTGGTTTTGGAGCACTTGGAGGTTCTTATCCCTGCCTAGAGGGCATTATCCACATATGAGAAACCAGTGTGACCCCCTTACCAGCTAGGGATGCAGAAGCAGCCCATTCTGGGTACTATCCAAGTTCACTGTCTCTGAGCCCCATTCCACTGTCTTTCTTCCTTGTCTGTATTTTGCCTGCCATGGTTCTCCCGGGGACACTCATTACTCTTCACTGGCCTCTTCTCAGAAGGCAAGGCCAGGAAGCTGCTCTGTCGGGGACGAGTTCAGCCCCTCCTCAGCTGAGACCTTTCATGCTCTAACACAAGTTGGCCACTCCTGAGCATTTCTACATCTGGGACAGCGTTGGGCCAGTACTTGCTTCACCAGTGGGGAGGATGGAAGAGGAAGTCTCTTCTCCTCCTGGAAGCTCTGTACCCTTGCTGCCTACCCTGCCAGGGAACTAGTGTGTGCCCTGCCCATGGGGCCCACAGGATGGCAAGGCCTGAGAGAGGAGAGTTGCTCCAGCCAAAGGCTGCGTGTGGCCTAGCTCTCTTTCGAAGAGAAACAATGGCAGCCCAGTCTCCTGTCAGCTCCAAGCCTGGTTCCTGATGCTGTCCTGGGTGAGCGTGTTGGTTTCAGGGGAAAGGGCCAGCTGTGGTCCATGGGAAGCACTTTGGTGTTGAATGGTGGCCCAGGGGGCCCTTGCTAACCAGAGCTGCTGCCCCTTCTCCCCTGAGGGCTGCCTGGAGGTGGAGGGCGTGAAGGCGAGCCATGTGTACGTCCTTCTTGGGGCTCAGTTCCCCTCTTGCATCCCAAGTCTGGTGATGCCTGAGAATATGCCTGACTCTTGTTGGAGTGTGAAAAAGAAGATTTTGCCCACATTTGGAATAGGATGCTTGTTTCCTGGGTGGGTAGGAGGAGCTTGGGTCTGTGCTAGGAAAAGATGGGCTTAGCAAGATTCCCATAGGGAAGGTGGATCTGGAGAGGAGTTTGGGGCTTTGGAATCCAGTGGGTCTCAGCTTGGCCCTCACACAAACACGCAAGCTTGCTTTGGCTTGTACGAAGGAAGATGGCTTCTTAGCTGTCAGCCTTTTATTATCTGCACCAAACTCCACTCTAAGGCGAGCACCACTATGCACCTGAAAAAGAGGAAGAAGAGGAATTTCCCCAGATCACACGGTGATCAACCAATTCCTCTGGGAGGCGGAGCTGAGATTCCTAGGCTTTAAGGCACTGTAGGTGACATGGTGTCTTCGTGATACAGGAACGACTTTTATTTGCGTATCTGAAAGCATAATTTCATATATATTTCAAACTATAGACAGCTGTTATGGGTATAAATGTCCAAATGGCATGCTGGACTGACACAGCTTTCATTCTCTGTCTAGATATGGCAGATTTTCGGCAGTGCTTTGCAAGCGCCAAGCACATAGTCATCATCTCTGGGGCTGGCATTAGTGCTGAAAGTGGGATTCCCACGTTCAGAGGACCTGGCGGCTATTGGAGGAAGTGGAAAGCCCAGGTTAGTAGCATTTCCAGGACAGTAAGTCCTTCTGAATGAGGTCACAACAGGCTGACTCAGAGCCGATACAGATGCGCAGAGGGAAAGCCTTGAAATGGGCAGTGACCCTTCTGTCCTGTTGATGTTGGCGCCAACACAGAGTCCCTATGATTAAGGTCAGAAATTTAAGCAAAGCAGCCACTTCCCTTTCCTTCTAGCTGTGAATAGATTACATTTATTCAAGTAAAAAATAAGTTTCTCCTGGTAATTGCCTTCAAGAGGAATCAGAGCCACAAGCAGTGGCACACACCTGTAATTACAGCTACTTGGAGGCTGAGGCAGGAAGATTGTGAGTTTGAGACCAGCCTGGACAATTTAGCGAGTCCATGTCTCAGATTTTTTAAAAACGGGCTGGGGATGTAGCTCAGTGATAAACCACTTTCCTACCATGTTGCCTAGCATGCACAAGGCCTTGGGTTCAATCTGTAGTACTGCAAAAGAAAAAGAAAATGGAATCAGGAAATCTTAGAACAATTCATTATTTTTCTAAAAATAATTGAAATTATGTATTTTCAAAGTTTCTGTGACGTATCCACATTAAAAGTGAAATGCAATTGTCCAAGGCCTAGGGCTTGATGTTCATTTACAGGAAGGCTATTAAATGAATCTAAATATGTGTGATACTGTTTCTTTAAATTCAGATTTTGTGTGTGTGTGTGTGGCACTCAAGCCTGAGTAAACAGAGTGGCGCTGTTGCTCCATGTGGGAGTACCACACTCAGCTACATCCCTCACACACTGAGCAGCACCCCACCCTGTTTAATTTTTTATTTTGAGATAGAGCCTAAGTTGCTAAGTTGCCCAGGCTGGATTTGAACTTGCAATCCTCCAGCCTCAGCACAACCCCCACCCCTCCAGTGCTGAGATTATAGCTATGTGCCAACATACCTAGCTTAAATTCAGTTTTTGAGCTATACATAGAGTAAAAGTCATCAATTTTAATTGTATGATTTAGTGAGTTTTAGGAAACAGATGTAGTTGTGTAGCCACCACCATCATTGCAACATGGGACGTTTCTCTTTTCCTTGTTTTTGCAGTGCTAGGGTACATACAGCCCAGGGCTTGCACATGCTGGGCAAGCAGTCTGCCACTGAGCTACACCTCTAGCCTAAGACTGAGTATTTCTGTCCCTCTGGAACACTCCATCTTGGTCCATCGTCTCCATCCCCTTCTGTCCCTCTGGTCTGGAAAATCCTGTTTTGGAGAGCACAGAATTTCGTCTGTTTTATCCATTATGCTGTTCCCAGCTCCCCGAACCTGGCGCACTGCAGGTGCTGGGTAGATTTGTGTTGGTTGAATGAAGGCAGTCGCAAGTTACTACAGTCAGCACCTGCCTTCCTGATTTAGTCGGCAGTGTCTCTTTGAGTGCAAGTTCACGAACCTGCCTCTTCTGCATTAAATGTGTGAGCTGACAGATGCTGGGGATGTGTTGTCACCTTCTAGGTTGTTGATCCTCCCCTGAAAAGTGGAGCAGGGGAAAGGGAGCAGAGGGCCAGTAGGACCAGCAAGAAAGAGGGGCTATCTGAGGGTCCCTGGAGAGCAGCTGTGAGCCTGGGAGGCCTGGGCAGGGGCACCAGTGTCAGGCAGCTCCCAGTTTGGTGGCAAAAAGGTCAGCAGAAGGCATCTGATGCCACCCATATAGGACTTGTGAGTATGCCCGGAGTGCACAGGTCACCGTTCACAGCTGTGAGCAGGAGGGAAGGGTGCAGGGATGTGGGTCCCCACAGCACACGAGATTGCTCCCAGAGGGAGGGCTGGCGTCACTGCTGCGGAAGGCCTGACACACATCTCGTGTCCCCTGTGAATGGGACACTCGCCCTGACAGAGGAACCAGCTTCTCCCAAGGCAGAGTTTACACAGAATATCGCACATGTGTGGATGTCGTGGCTATGGTGTGCTGAGTTTTGCAAGGTGGATACACCCGTGTTCATCTCACCACCTCCACAAGCCAGAGTGGAATATTTCCATCCCCGATAACGCTTCCTTATGTCCCTCCCATCAGAGGCCAGCCTTCAAGAGCCGCTGCTCTGCCCTTCCAGCTAAGAGGTGTCTGCAGAAGAACCATACTTTAGAACAGAGATATTTTACATATTCTGTTTATAAATGCACTGTTTTTAATATGTGTATGCAGTTGTATGTGGTTGTGTATATGTGTGTAGTTTGTGTATCTTCTGTGTAGTGTATGTGGTGTACAGTTTTATGTATATAAGGTGTGTGGTTGTGACAGGTATGTGCGTACTTGTATGTATATGTGCCGTTGGGTGTACGTCATGGCTTGAGTTAGAAAACCTGAGTTTCCCAGTTGTGACCATGGTCCCTCTCTTGGGCATCTTGCATTTCATATTTTTTTTCCTGAGTTACCTCAGAATGAGATTGTCTTCATATATTCTGAGGCTTTGTGAAGAAGAGTCTGTCCCACACATGGCTCTACCCTGTGCACAGCTTGCTTGAGGGCTTTCCTGGCCTTCTCCCTGGGGTAATAAAGAACTACTTCTCCATCCCTTAGTCTCGGCCTGCCCTGGGGATCTGAAGCAGCCACGTCCCAGGCTCTTTGCCTCCCTGACCCACACCTTTCCTTTCCCACAGGAACTGGCCACCCCCGAGGCCTTTGCCCGCAACCCCTCACGGGTGTGGGAGTTCTACCACTACCGGCGCGAGGTCATCCTGACCAAGGAGCCCAACCCCGGGCACCACGCCATCGCTGAATGTGAGGCCCGGCTGAGCAAGCAGGGCCGCCGGGTCATGGTCATCACCCAGAACATCGATGAGCTACACCAAAGGGCTGGCACCAAGAACCTGTTAGAGATCCACGGTGAGGGGAGTCAGGCCATTAAACATGTGCCAGCCGGTGTGGCGGTGCACTCTGGGAGGCCGTCAGGAGGCTCGCACGTTCCCTAGCCCATGTGGTTTGTGGGTGTGGGTTTGTGCACATCATGCTCCGCGAGGCTGTCAGGTTTTGCCGGGCTGGGCTCAGTGTCACCAGCTAAGGAAAGCTGCGCACTGCTCACCTGCAGCCCAATCCTGCCCTTTTTAATTTTATTTTAAAGTGAAAAAGCAGTAGAAACAATAATACAAAATTTCAAAACAAGGTAACAGAAGAGTAACAATGGTCAATACAGTGCATATTATCTTCAAAGTAGTTGCTCAGATTATGAGCTATAGGCATGAAAAATGGATCAAACAATGTAAGTACAAACCTTTCTTTTCAATGAATAGACATTAGTAGTATAACTATCTTAACTAGTATACTTATATATAGATTTTCTTTCCTTTTCCCTTCCTTCTTATCTCCTTTCCCCCATGCCAGTTTCTCTTTCCTTTTGAACAGTTTCTTCCCATTTCACCATATCTATTGTACAATTTGGATTTTATTAACTGTTTCAGTTTCTTATACTAGGGAGACAATATGATGTTTACACATATGAGTGAGTTATTTCACTTGTGAGTATGGTCTCAATTTGCATCCATTTACCTATAAAAATCTCAAGTTTATTCTTCTTTATAGCTGAGTAGTACTCCATTATATAAAGATACTACATCTTTTTTATCCATTTCTCAGTTATGGATATTTGGGTTGTGCTATTGCACAGCAAGATTGAGCCATTGCAAACTGTGCTGCTGTAAACATGGGGGCACATAAATAACTATGGTGTGATGTTTTTAATTCTTCTGGGAAAATGCCCATAGGGGAATACCTGGGTCAAGTGAGACCTCTAGTTTTAGTTTTTTGAAGAATATCCACACTGATTTCCACAGTGGTTGCACCAGTCTACACTCTCACCAACAGTGGAGAAGGATTCCTTTTCCCCCACAGCTCCTCCAGTATTTGTTATTGGTTGATTTCTTCATGATAGCTATTCTTTCTGGGGTGAGATGGAATCTCAATGTTGTTTAAATTTGCATCTATAAAATGACCAGTGATAGGGGCTGGGGATTTAGCTTAGCGGCAAAAGCGCCTGCCTGGCAAGTGCAAGGTCGTGAGTTCGGTTCCCGGTACCTGAGAAAAAACAAAAACAAAAACAAAAACAAAAAAAAACAAATGACCAGTGATGTTGAACATTTTTTAATACATTTATTTGCTATTTGTATTTCTTCATCTGAAAGTTCGTATTCATCTCAGATGCCCATTTTTGGAATGGGTCTTTCAATTTGGGGGTGTGTGTGTGTGTGATATTTTTCAATTCTTTATATATTCTAGATAGAAGTCCTTTGTCTCAGGCACAATTAGTTAAAATATTTTCCCACTCTGTGGGTTGTCTTTTCACTGTATTGGTGATTTCTTTTGATGTGCAAAATCTTTTTAATAACATGAGAACTTAGTTGTTGATTCTTTGAAGTAGTTCCCAAGCAGTTTGGATTTTGTTCATAAACTCTCTGCCTACACCTATGTCTTCAAGATTTCTATTTACTTTCTCTTCCATTAGACTTTATGTTTCTGTTTTAATATTTAGCTCTATATTCCATTTTGACTTTAGTTCAGTGCATGGTGCTAGTACAAGTTTTAGTATTCAGCATGTAGAGAGCCAATTTTTTCAGCACCATTTATTAAAGAGGCTATCTTTCTTCCAGTGATACATTTGGCCTCTTTGTCAAAGATAACATGACTCAGTGTGTTTGTAGTTGTGTCTGCTCATCTAATCTGTTCCACTGATCCTCAGGTCTGTTCTTTTGCCAGCACCATGCTGATTCTATCACAATAGCTTTGTAGTATAATTTCAAGTCAGGGATTGTGATGCCTCCTGCCTTGCCTTTGTTGCCCAGGATTTCCTCTACTATTCTCAGTCTTTTCTGGTTCCAAATGAATTTTAGGAATGTTTTCTCTAGCTCTGTGAGGTATGCTAATGGTATTTTGATTGGGATTGCATTAAATCTGTTTAAAATTTTTGTGGTTATGGCCATTTTCATTATGTTGTTTCTTCCTATCCATGAGCAAGGAATATCTTTCCATTTTCTGATATCCTCTTCAACCTCCTTTTTCAGAGTACTGTAATGTTCAATATATAGATCCTTTACTTCCTTTGTTAGATTGATCCCTAAGTGTTTCATTTTCTTGGGTGCTATTGTGAAGGGTGTGGTTTCCCTAATTTCTCTCCCAGTGAGTTTGTTGTTTTTGTATAGGAATGCTATTGATTTTTGAGTGTTCTGTG